GTTACACCTACCCAGAGTAGCCTTGAGAGAAGGGCCTGGAGCAAGTCTACTGTGAACACCTGGAGTCACCATGAGTTGAGTTCGATTTGATGGCACCTAACAACAAGAACATATTTAAAAGTATTTTTGAAATTATTGCATGCCAAAGAAGTATGGGAGAATGAAGAGATCATGTCTTGATTCAGTGGTAAATATGTTTGAGTATATACATTATGTCTGATATTAGGTGTGATGTTTTCACACTTATTCCCTCACATTCTTCAGAATTATTACCCAGGAGAGTGGTATCCTTTCACATTTTATAGTTGAGGCAACTATATCTCAGAGAGGCTCTAGATTTTTTTTTAAATATATAAAATGATTTTAATCCATATTTGCCATAAGTAAAACTTCTGTTTGCTTGTTTTAAAAGTTAAATTTTATGTTTTGTTTTATTTTTGTTCTGCATGATAGGTATCTCTTAGATTAAGAAATAATAGTCTAGCATTTTATATTTCCCCAGATTTGCACTTAGCTGTGTGGTTGTCTATGGCCCACTGTAGTTGTTGGCACTTATGCTTAAGATATCTGGGAATGTATTTTTAAGAGAAAATGGAGAGAATTTCTTCAGCAGTGTCCATAAACATTTTAATAAGAATGGAATTATATCCTACCAAGTCATCCTTTAAATTTTTGGGAAAACATAGGCAAACAAACAACAACAAAACCTAAAACTTTTTAGAGACCCAATATTGTTTTGAACGTTTTCAAATTAAATAGCTATTAAAGTTGAAAATGAATCTATGATAAATATGCTTTGGAAGCAACAACAATAAGTAAACCTTATTTAGGCCAGTGGTAGTCAAATTTCAGAGAGGATTCGAATCATTGAAGAGTTGTTACAACACAGATTTCTTGCGCCCCATCCCTAAAGGCTTCCGTTCAGTAGGTGAGGTGGAGACTAAGAATTTGCATTTTGAACAAGTACAACTGTTGCTGCTGATCCACAGACTATATTCTGAGTAGTGTTGATTTCAGGATGACCTGAGTATCATCATTATGAATCGGAATTGACTTGATGGCAAGGAGTTTGAGTACCATAGCATGTATTAACAATTTAAATTATGTTTTTCAGAAAAAGAATTTCAGCTGTACCAGACGAGCTCAGTGCCCAGAAACCCATGTCAGTTCTGTCCAGATACAAGGTGATGCTGATTATTTCATCAACCATCTTGGAGTTCCAACCCTGCAGTTCGTTTATGAGGACATCAAAGCATTAAAGGTGATTGTTTCTAAAAATGTAACACCTACTCACACACACCCACACACAAAACATAGCAGACATGCAGAATTAGATTTTATCCAGGCCATTTGTCTCTCTTACCAAATAGGGCACTTTAGAAAGCCACCTAAGTTAAAGAGTTATTCTTGTTGTTCAGAAGCTTTGTAGAGTATTTGAAAACATCAGCTCTTTTCAATAGTGTTGAATTCAATGTAAAAAGATTTATACTGTCACTCACATCCTCACAGTGTGCTTCGCAACAGGAAATTTGCAGTAGTTGGATTAACATCAAAACATAATTGTAATCTTCAATATTCAGAGAAACAGA